TTTATAATATTTTGTGTATATTTCTAACACTTTAGAAAAATAACTTGTAACACAAAATAATAATTTTCTCCTCTCTCTCTCTATGTGGCCGAAAATTACACAAGAAAATGGGGAGGGATATTTCTCATTTTATAATATATTGCATTAAGGAATTGCTAGGAAATTGCTTAGGGACAAAAACAAATTTGGCTTAATGTATTGTTCCCAACCAACACAACAATACAAATATTCTTTACTAATCAAATATTTGATTATATAAATCAAATATATCATTAGGTAAAAAATCAAAATATGTTTTGTATCTTTCTCTTGAAATTTTCGGCCATTTCAATTTATAATATATCATATTTTATTTTGACATCAATAATTATCATATAATTAAAATGATGAAAATAAAAGTAATATATATATATATATATATATATATATATATATATATATATATATATATATATATATCGGCGCTACATATATATATATATATATAATAAAATTTGTTTTGTCAAAATATAATTATCATATAATTAAAATGACACAAACAAAATATAATTTTAAAATACATATGTATTTTTCGAAATACATATATATAAAATTATCACAACTATATATTTAATATTACTCCCACTAGTGTAGTATACTACTCCCTTACAAGTCCTAAGTGTGTGACCCTTTAGGTATCCATAACACTGGCAATGATATTAATATAAATTAATATCATAGATAATAAGCGGTATCTAGCAACACATTATTATCCCCAGATTATGAAAAAGACGTTCATCTCATCAATACCTTCTACGACACAAGACGTTCTATAACTATTATCCTTCTGTCCTATATGTCATGATTTAACACAAGGCATGAGATGTGCATCCTTGTATAGTTAAATCAGCTGTTACTGAATCTCAAGTAGACTGGCAGGGATCAGATATTTATCAGTCTCTAGATAGCGACATATCTGGGCATGGCCATGCACTTTCCCAAATCCTACTATTCAGTGGGCCCATTGACATTATACTTCTATACAGTAGAAGGGACAGATCCTGTATCTGTTATTCACATCTCTAAATATGCTTAGCGGCATACCCAACGCATAACTGTACGTCTACCAGTATTTCAGATAGCATTAGTTATAAATCAAAGCATACGGCCCCACATATCAGAGAATGTAATAACTTCAAGTCTGAGGATAGTTATAGCAAGGTCGATTTGAGAATACTGATAAACACATTACTGTAGATCCATGCAGTATTCTCAAGATGGGTCAATCCAGTCACATATTATCAATATAATATGCACCTACGTACAGATTAAGATATCACAATACCTATAGT